CTGAGTGAGGCCGGACCGGTTCTTTATACCGGTGGGCAGAGGCCGGCCTCACTGCTGCGAGGCCTGGCTGTGCCCTGAACCGTCCAGATGGACGGTTCAGCCCCAACCGGCGGGCGGCAGCCTCAAGAGCGCCGCCAGGCCCAAACGGTAATGTCGTTTGGGCCTGCCTGTCGGGTCTGGTCCAAGGTGAGGCCTTTATGGCCTGTAGTACCCCAAGGTCGGGCCTTTAGGCCCTGATGTGTCCCTCTAGCCCTAAGTCGGGTCCGGTAGGACCCGTGTGGCGTCGAAGATGTAACAGTTGGCCTTAGACACTACTGTGATTTGATTGGGGGTGGGGGACGATGAAAAGGGAGGTGCAGCTACTGGCAAAATGCTTGGTCTTTGAGTTAGCTGGACCCCCACCAGCGGCCCCACCCAATCTCATGACTACCGATGTTGCGGCGGGGGGCAACATGCAATCCCTTCATTGTGAGGCAGGTATGCTTGCAGGGGTCCCCTCTATATAGCCTTAGGAGTAGCGGTAGGTACGTAGTGAAAGGAAAAAAATAATTTGCTAGAAGAATATAGTGTAGTTTTACCAAGGAAAAAAAAAAAAAAAAAATTATGCTTTTTAAAGTTTAAACTTCTTTAAAGTTTTCTTTTTCTTTTTTCTTTTTGTTTCAGTTTGACCAGGAGCCGCCTGGTTGGACCGGCCGGTTGTCCGTCCCGTTTGGCTCCCGGTTCACCCCACTTGGCTCCCGGTTCACCCCACAGCATTTTGCTGGGGGCGGGAATAAAAAGACAGAAAGAACACGGAATCATTGCCAGTGCAGAAAGAACTCTCCTTTACCTCTCCTCTCTCTCTCCTCCACCTCTTCCTAATAGCGCTACTGGCTATTCCAGATCATCCCTGTCTCCCGGGATGTTATAAGGGCAATGCAAATCTACTGTGGCTCTTCCCCCCCTCCTACCGCCGTGCCTCACTCACGAGTGAACTCCATGTCCAACCCCAACAGAGGCCTGCATTATGAAGCACCAACCAAGGACGTTAAGCTAAAGGTCCACCATAGCCTAAGGTAAGCGTTCTTGTATTGGCCCCCTCTTCAACCCCACGATGCTCATCACAAATGTGCCCAACCGAATGTACGACTGATATTGGGTTCACCGGGCTCACCTGCCCCCTGTTGACACGAATGAAGGGCTGCGATTCACTTGCCTGAGCAGCTGAGATGCGAACGCAATCTGTGGCTGCCTGGATGCAGTAGGCCACTGGATGCATCTGGAAACAAAATTCTGACCTTTTGGATTTGTGTTTTTTCTGCAGACGTGGTTGACTTCTGGAGAAATCTTTGACTGCTAGTCAGCTGCACCCGTCCAAGCTCGACTGTTGACTTTCCTGCGGCTTGGGTTGACTTTTCCAGGCGCCGGGCATTTCTGAATGCGCCCCTGTGACCCCCTACAACATGACCTGTTTTTTGACCCCAGAACATTGGCTCAGCCATAAGCTACGACCCAAAGACCATTTCATTCCTGCTGTTTGACTGCGGATGCCTGTTACAGAAGATCCTGAGCTCCAAAAGTCCACACCATCACAAAACTGTCTAGAGTTGAGTTTTTGGGAAGGATGAACGAGAGAGAGAGAGAGAGAGAGAGAGAGAGAGAGAGAGAGAGAGAGAGAGAGAGAGAGAGAGAGAGAGAGAGAGAGAGAGAGAGAGAGAG